TCCGGTGTCCGGTGATGTCCGGATCACCGGACCGTCCGGACCGGTCCAGACACTGGTCCGGAAGACAGTCTGGAAGTGTCCGGTGTCCGGGTCCGGGGTTACCATGGCTAGAATACTAAATATATTAATATGAGAAATTTTCAGATAAGGGGAAATGCTAATATCAGAAATTTTCAGATAAAACGAAATGCTACTATCTAAAAGGGCCTTTACGATTCAGACCCCAAATGAGTACCCCAGCATAGTGGGGCCCGACGGCCAAAACTTAATTTCACGTGTAGCATTCCAAAAGACAAGTACTCTGAGGCAAAAAGGTCGCATCCAAATGAAAAAGAAAACTCGTGTGGAAAGTCACAGTGAGGTCCTGGACGAACAGGCACTGTGTTTTGTTTTAGTGCTAAAGATAAAGTCACGTCTGTTCAATACTAAGTCAAAAGTCACAGTCCCAGGCCAGTCACAGTTCCCAGGGTCACGTCTGATTCAGTTAAAGAGTCCAAAAGACAGGCCCGATGGGCACAGCAGCAGCAGACCATGGGAAAGGGTACTGGGACACACATTTTGCAGCAGCAGGAATTGGGTAAGAGTCCCAAGTGAAGGGAGGCTGGATGCAGACCTCATTCAGCCAGTCCAATTGTATAAAGGACCTGGCCAGCCTCCCATTCGGCAGATACTCATGGGCATGAGAGTGTGGAAGTGCTGAGGCACTTGTGCGCCAGGATGCTAGTGAGCAGCGCTAGGCTTGCGAGCTGCACTAGGAGGAAGAAGGAAGCTGGGCGCTGGCTGAGGGAAGCAGCCATAGCTGCGCCAGCAGAAGTTAGTAGCAGTAGAAGTAGGAGTACCAGTGAGTAGTATTCAAAGTAGATCCTCGTGTGATAGGGAGTGTGCATGCATGATGAGTGGGAGTAGACCAGGATAATAGACATAGAGGGAGAGAGAGAAGAAAGCAGACGAGAGAGGGGGAGGTGTGAGCTATGGTGTTACTTACCTGTTGAGCGCTGTTGATGATGATTGGCAGTTGGCGCTGATGAGCGCCAGGCCTGGTACACGTGTTGGGTGAAGAAGACTTGTAACTCTGTTCAGCGCTGTATATTTTGGACTCACGATATTCCCTTTTTAATCTGGTTTTGATAATTAAATTGAGCTTTCTGGTTCTCATTCATCTTCTATTGGGCTTTGTGTGAGACATCACAATTCATGAAATCTGCGTTTATGCACGTGATCCAATGCACTCCAGCAAGTGATGAACAGTCGGGTTCCTTGCAAATTTGGTATCGGAGCGGAACTTGTTACTCTCACTGGTTGCGCTGGCATGATCAAGGCCGGCGAGAAGGAGAAGAATATGCTGGCTTGAGGTTGTGGGCACAGTCCCAGAGACCTGCGCCACCTTCTCTTTTGGAGGAGGTGGTGGAGTCTTGGGAGAGCCAGGCTAAGAGGAGGAGGGACAGTAGAGTGGGAAAGGGTACAGGAGTAGGAGGGACAGTAGGGTGTGGAGAGGGTACAGGAGTAGGAGGGAAATGCCTGAAGAACGCTGCTGACAACTTTTCCAACTTTTTGGCAATAGATGACAGTTGGGACTCAACTGATGAGATCCCAGGATGTAAAAACATCCCGGTTGTGAGTGGATTCCAGCAGTAGCAGTTCTGCAAGATTCCACGTGGCATCAACCACGTGGGCGTCAGCAGGGACCTTGGCAAAAGTATCCAGCAACTCGGATCTTTTGGTTGTTGCTTCCCCTCTCCTAGTTGCCTCTGCCTTCTCCCTCTTTAATCTCTCTACTTCCCGGACTGCATCTGCAGCAGCTTTCTCTGCTGCTTTCAGGGCTGCGTCCACGAGGTCTTCCTCAGTCAGGGGTTTCTGATCTTCCCTGCTTGGCTCAGGCTTCGCAAACGTCTCCCCGCCTTCAGCAGGTCCCTTAGCCTTGTCCTCAGTGGCCATGAGGGTCTTTTCAAATTTTATTTGTCAGAAAACAAATAAGAGAATATGTATATATAATTCTGATTACTGTTCACTCGTAGAACACAAATAAAAAGAATATGACTGTGCTATAGGTTTGGGATTTACGGCCGGTAGCGTAAAATGTTTGAAAACAGCCTGGGAGATAACAGGCTCAAGACAATGGCCGAAACCTTCAACAGAATGGCCACGTCTGAGCATGCAACCCGATCAACAAGGCAATAATGTTTGTGACCAGGCTCGCGACAGAGCCTTCCCAAAAGAGTTAGCATTCTACAGCAAGCGGGAGAGATACTTTTCAATGCAATCAGGGGAAAAAATAAAACCGGAGCGGATTTCAATCACCGCTACTGCAGTATGCAGATGGCTCTTATTATAATCAAAACGGAATATGCCATCATACCAGCAATCTGCCATTGGCAGAGTGACACTTAATGGACCATTTTCCGACTGACAACTGTAGTTAGCGGCTGACAGAACTGAGAGACAGACCGTAACGGACTGATAATCAGCCACCCTTTTCGGTTGGCACACACAGGACTGACTGCGCACTCACAGCAGATCAGAAACTGTTAATTACGTCTCCATTTTTAGATTAGAATAGGGGAACTGACAAGTAACAACCTATCTGACGTAGACTGCACATGGACTGACGACTGACAGACTCTGACAACCACTGACAGGGTCTGATGACGGCCAAGAAATACAGGAACGAACTCACTTGGACGAAACGTGATTGAAGATATCTGGTCGGTCAACAGTTGATCGCCAATCGGCTGCAAAATAAAGTAGACCAGTCTGACGTCGACGTCAGACCTGCAGCGGAGATCCCATGAATCTTCCAATCCAAATGCCTCGTCGGAGTAACTGCAGCAGCGGTCCAGACTGAAGTCCCGTGCCGTTTGCGGGCATGGTCTGCGACTTGAGGGTCACCCGACACTCAGGTCCACCGGGCCACTTAGGGTTGACGCAGCGGTCAACTCTTCTCTCGCCAGCTTCCC